AAGCCATAAGTTTCCCAAAGGTCTCAGGGGCGCAGGTTACACCAAGAACAACCGGCCACGGCTGTGGGCCGAGTCATGCCGAGTTTTCTCAGGGACACCCTTCCTCCAAAAAATGGGAAACAACAAAAGTGCACTGAGCAATTGAGGTGTCTCAAAAGGAGTCCCCGAGTTGAACGTGAAAATGGACGAACGCCTGGCACTGGGGATGGCCTTGGAAAGAAGGCAGGAGCCATTGGCTTCTCAATCTGAACCGAACGTTGATATGGGTCTGTCATTAACCAACAGGAAGATCGCCATTTGAAAGGGGCCCCCTACAAAAGTCACACCCATATTATCACAATTAAAACCCCCCCGGTCTATGTCACCAGCGGGCCGGGGCGGGCGGGGGGAAGGGAACCCTGAGGCTCGGTTTTTTGTGCATGCGAGTGGCTGCCATTAGCTCGAAAGGGTCGACCACCGGCTCTTCCACGAAGAAGAGATCCTGACTTTTGGGATCGGAGTCGCGAGCCTAGAGCAGGGAGCGGAAAGTGTGAGGACTGCCCCGAGTCAAAAGTGGGCTGCCCTCAGATCCCCGCCAAAAGTGACTAACTTTTAGTTGGTTAAAAATGGAAACTACCACTCAACACTAAAAGGATCTAAGAAGCTAAGGAACCGGATGGCCTTCGCTTTGCCACCAAGGAACTGGTGGCTTCGATTCAATCTGCCACTGTTGGAGTCCAAAAGTTGGGAAATGGAGGAAACCCTGCGACGAGGAGCTCAGGTGAGGAATTCAGGTGGGGAGGGGGTCCCAAGTTCCCCCACTGAAGAACCTCAAGGTTTGCCTGGTGTGTTTTTAGAAACAGGAAGCCAAAGTGGGTCCAATTATCCCTACGCCAAGCCCAAGGTTCCCGGCTGGGTCCCGATTGATGGTTTGGATGGGTGGTTTGGGGTGGTTTCCCATTTGCCCAATAGAACCAGTTCAACCCAAACCATCCAAATAACCCAGGGTTACATGACCATTGGCCTTTTTCTCCTCTGGAAAGAAGGCACGATATAACCAGTGATAGATTGCCTTGAACCATAGTCAACCCTACACCAATGACAGAACAATCACGTGCAACAAATATCTTGTTTGAACGCGCTAACTTTGATGACAAGAGAACCAACAGGAAAAAAAACACAAATTGAAGCTGCATTGAAAAAGAAACCATCGCGAAAAAAACGCGCCCGGCTTCCCATGGGTCACGGCTTGGGACACTTGGCCTTCGATAGGCCGTTGGGCCCGATTTCATTGCTCGTCTGCGCCTTCATCGCCATGTTGGGTTGAACCAAAATGGGTTTTGGGCGCGTTTAACATGTCAGTGGCTGTGTTGCTCCTTTCAACCAGCAATGCCAGACTTGCACTACCCCTATTCTTCTTGAAACGTTTTGGTTTTTCATGGTTCCTTTCAATCAGCGCGCTTGGGGCAGATTTGCCATCTTCTCACATCCTCCTCTCATAGCTCACTTCGTAGCTGGCTATCTTGCGGATCATCCACATGCGGGCAAGTGCAGGAAGCAAAGTGTCAACATCTTGCAGGAGTCAGTCTGGCCCCTCATAAAAGTCGGCCCCTGACAGGTCAAATTCTATGATGGCAACAAGTGCTTGACAGGGTGCTTGTCACTCTCTATCTGTTACATAAAACACCTTCCTATCTGGCCGCTGGGCGCTGCTCGCATGGGGGTAAACTGGGCTGCCCTCAGATCCCCCGAGAAAAGCTTAACTTTTGGTGGGTTAAATGGAAACACTAAACACTTAGATGGCCTTCGGGAGCCACCAAGATTAAATCGCCTTATCTGGCCGCAGGGGGCGTCTCTCTGGACGCCATGTGCCGCCAACTTGGGGACCCGGCCGTGTCCACGCGGAAGAAGAACTCGTAACCTCAGGCTGCAAAGAGCCCTTTACGTCCAAAGCCTCCTGGATTGGTAAAGAAAACGATCCAAACTGAATTGTCTACCCTCCCACCCCAACTAACATGGAAGTGCACAAACCCCCTTTCCAAGAGGAAAGTAGTCTTTCTACAGGGGTCTGTGCACTTCCATGTTAGTTGGTGGGAGGGTACCACTAGAATGGTCCGAGAACTTGCGGACTGAGGAGTCACATCCCCAAAGTTATCCCATGGTAGTTTGAAGGGAACACACCCTCCGCATGTAGTTTTGAGAATGTTTGTGTATGTTCGTGATTAGGCAATGGTCCAGTGCGTCTTTCAGGCTCCAGTCAGGCACATGTGATTGGGTGGGGCACTCACGGCCTTGCCAACCATCAAATAGCCCAGCCCCGCAAACCATCCTCATGGCCATCATCGCTCAGACCATCCCGAAACGTAGGATTTCCACAAGCTGCCTTGAGCTTAGTTCCTGCTTGTTAGAGCGCATACACCGCTGCTTTCTTAACGGAAAGCGCGGTTGCCTCTCTGTAATAAAGGCAACATCCACAAGCTCAATCATCCTGGACAGGCCAACAAGTCCCACACAACTTCACACGTTCTCTAGGGACCAGTTGCAGAACAAACAAACTGTGGAGTGTCATATGTACCTCGGTGGGGTTCGCCGAACGATCTGACCTCGCCCAAACGAAAGACACATCATCAACTTGACCAATACCAACAGCGTACCCCAGTGACGATTCTTCTGTGATCAAAACATATATGGTCAAACCCGGAAGCGAGACATTGCCATGGTTTCAACGCCAACCTCTGCCGTGGTTGGCAAAAACCCATGCCACTGCTGCGTCTGACTCCGGTCCACGCTTTGTTTGGAGCCCCTCGAAAGAACCTGGCCCACAAGCCCTTTTCAGCCCCAGTGGGGCTCCAGCCGCCCTCCTGGAACGTCTTGGTGCGAAACATGCTGACCTCGTGGGTTGAACCCAAGTTTACAGCAAGTTGTTCGAAATTGGGATGTCGATGTTTCACCATTTGGATATAGAACATGGGGCCCCAGCTCAGTTTGATTCGGTTTGTCTGGGGTGTTCAACAAGCGGGTCCCGGATGAAGCCGATTGTCAGCAATCTGAAAACAAGGTTACACGGGACGCCACGAAATCCTGGCAGGATCTGATTGAACAGCCCCGGGCGGGCTCCTGGGTAGATTTGTGGCATGAGAGAAGGGAACAAGACTAGGTCTGGACCTGGACAACTTTGCAATAATTGACCACATGCACTCGCTTGTCTGCACGGGAGCCAGGCTATGTTGTAGGTCCTGAAGTAAATCAACGGTTGGCAATAAGAATTCCCCAACATCTTCACGGAGCTCATCCTAGCCCACGAATCGGCGAGCTTTTGTCGAGCTGATCTGCAGGGCATGAGGTCTTCACCCGCAGGTTTCGCGCTTCCAAGATCCCAGAGCCGAACCCTCCGTGCCAAACGCGCATGAGACACCTGAGGAAAGACCACTGAGAATACCGATCCCACATCTGTTCATATGCGCTTGGCATGGCCGCAAAATGGCTTTGGTTTCCCTTTTGGTTTCCGTTTAGACCGAAGAGGTCCCTGGTACCCTCAACAAGGCACACGCTTCTGCATCGCTCCCATCGGTCCGAGTCCGAGTCCGAGTGGCAGTGACTCCATACTTCCCCTACCGGGCCCTGGAAATGAAAGTAAGATTAACATGTACTAACCCTTATAAACTCTTATAAAATTTTACAAACTTTAAAGTAAGTACATACTCTACTCACCCTACTAACTCTTCAAACTTTAAGGTAACATCAACATTTACTAACCCTTATGAACGTTGATAAACTTTCTTGGCGATGGTGAAGTTACCGTGCAAAGGAACAAACCGACCGAGCGTCGAGCGTTTGCTCGTCCCCCAAAAGAGTCCCAAAGACGCACCACACACCATGTACGCCCACTCTCCCCCCCCCCCCCCCGGAGGGGGCATGAAGGCATAGATCGGATGTGTAAAATCCGCCAAACAGTTTAGCTGTTGTGACCACCATGGACAGGAGAAACGGACTTGTGTATATATAGTCCAGGCCCCCAAGTGAATTTCATGGGAATAATTCCTGGCCCTATTTTGGTTGGTAGTTGATGTTAAAGGGAAACCCTCTCGAACAAGAAATGGAAGAAACCCACTGACCCAAGATCAAGGCAATGCTTCGACGGGTGAAATGCCTAACCCTTGAAATGGAACCTAACAAGTCCGGATCCAGCCCAGTTTACCTAGTGGGAGTGGCAAGCATTCGAGTTTCTATTGGTGCTTAAAGGTTGGCCCCGCAAACTTGCTGGTTCCCTGCGGGCAATGAGGAAATCACCCCTAAACCATCCCTTGTGGTTCCCTTTGAGGGAATCCCCTTGCGGTTCATTCCCAACACCGGGTCTCGGTCATTCCCAATGTGCAAGCGGAACCGCATCTTTTTCAGCATGCGACCGATTGAAAATTCATAGTCTTTGTCATCCGCAAGGATCCGTGAGGGAAACACATGCCTGCGCGTGTTTGCAAAGAGAGGTTCACTATGTCGCAGAGCGACACACTGCAAAGAGAGGTTCAGTATATATATATATATATGTGTATATATATATATATCGTCGCAAGTATGCCCTGAGAAAGCAATACGGCATTCAGCCAGTTCATCCTCACGGACCCTATCAAAGTCACCTCAAGCAGGCTGGTGGCCTTTAGTGCCATCGTCAAGCCTCCCGTTGTTGTTTTTTTCTGCGGCGGATATTGACTTCTCGACTGAGTCGAGAGGTTTGGCTATGGCGCATTGAGGTTTCACATTGAAAGTGCTGCGAGTGAATAAACCTTGTCTCCCCAACCCCTTGTGGAGACCGCCTTTCTAACAGGATCAAGCCAAATCAGATCTCTCTCTCATGGGGAATGCTAATTTTCAACAACAAGAGCGCTTTCCGGGATTGAAATCGCTCACAAACCTATGCCTTGCTGAAAACAAGGGACCGTCTTATTCCTCTGATGCGATGCGACTAGTAGCTATACGCAACTGCTACTTTCCCTCAACACAAGCTAACTCTTAAACAATAAAACGTAACAAGCTAATTCTCGCTCCCCTCTCGCTTTTTTGTGCAGCGCCCTCTTTGAGGGAATTGCTAATTCCCTCGCCAGGTCCTACTTTCTCTGCGCCGCTCCATGCTTCGACTTCTGGAGGACTTCTCCTCAGGTTTTTCAATCGGGCGAGAAAATCGGGGGCCGGACAAGCTAAACTATGCAGTTGCCCCTTAGAGACGAAGCAACGCGTTGACATTTTGGGACCACTAAGCATGGATACGGACGAAAAAAACAAAAAAAACAAAATCGTGTTCCCCTTGTTGGTCCTTGGGAGGAAGTAAGAAGCGAGAAACAAATTGCTTTGTCCCGTTTTGGTGCCTAGAAAAGCTCAGAAGGGACCTAGGACCTGGAAACAGGTTTACTCGGTTGCTTTCTGCTCCCCTGCTAAAAGTTTAACTTTTAGTGGTTTAATGGAAAACCCATGAGTTGACAAAAAGTTAAAGTCCTAACATCCAAGCAAAATGCACCAAAGTTCAGTTTACCTTTTGGAACCCCTCCCTTGTTCCGCCTGGAAACCAACAAGCCAAGCAAAAACACACCGCCGGGGGCCGGGGGGTTTGGGTCTCAAGAGGTTGTGGGCTCCGCCGTTCAACCACGGAAAACCTGGCGGTTTTAGTGCACGACGTGCACTCTTAGCTTTGGCTGGGATCATGCAGGTTGGTTAGATTCGAGTTTATAAGCCGCTCTTCGCCTTTACTTTCATTGCCATCAAAGCCTGGAGCACCCTTCGTTACCTAAATTTCTGCCCTTAGCCCAAACGTATTGCAAAACCAGGGGTCGTCACCAAAATATGGTAAACGTACACTTTTTCCTGCTTCGAGCGCTTTTCCCAAAACCGGGCTGGTCGGTCCTCCAAGATGATCTTTCGTTGAATTTTCGAAAGGAGCGAACAGAAATCAAAGTGCAAAACGAGCGCAAATATCCGCAAAACGAGAGCAAATATCCGCAAACGAGTGCAAATAAAAACCGTAACAATGCCCGCCTTCCTCTGGATGGAAGAAGGGGATTTGGTCGAGCGTTTTTCGGGGGGCGAGCGTTTTTTTGGGGGTCGAGCAGAAATCGGTAATTCGAGCGATTTTTTCTCGTACCAAAAAAAAAGGGCACGTTGGGTGCCTCAGGAGTGTGTGTGTGTGTGAGGTGAAAGTAGCACCACGCTCCATTTTTCAAGTTTTATCACCTGACACACGGATTTGTATCCTGGCGTAAACGTCTTCCAGAATGCCAAATTTGCCAAGCAACAAAAAACCACTCTGTAACTCCCAAACGGTTTAACGAGGTGTAGCCCTCTCCACACGCTTCATATTGCCTTTGCCGGTGTCCCCGAATGGGACAGACGGCATCCTGGAAGGGCGACGTTCACCAGGCAAGGCCCCTGATTTTGGCTGAGTAGAAGGTTTCCATTCAATCAAATGTGCTGGACGAGCATGTTTCAGTGGTTTGCCCCATGAAACTTTCAGAGCGAAACCCGTATAAACCCAGATTCACAATTTCGGCAGCCACTGTACCGATTTGGTGCCCTGGCTTTCACAAGAACCGAGAATGACTCATTTTTTGCCGCCCTGAACATTCAGGTTTTGCGTGGGGTTGCGAACCCACTCAATTGCCCTCGACGCATGGCGCTGATGCGTTTCCAGCCTGCCTTAGGGTGGCTGCCAGCTCACCCGACCAGATATTGTGTTTGATCGTCAGCTACTTTGGTGCTGTATGCTTCTTTGATTGACTTTAAGTCAGTTAATTGCGTGCTATTCACCGGGCCACTGGGTTTGGATGGTCTCTCAAGGATGCTCACTGCTCATGTAAGCTGCAGAGTCGACCACTTGCCCCCTGAGGGAGCTAGGTGCCCCTGATAATATCTATCTATTTTTGTTTCAAGCCTTTGAAGGCTTATTCTAAACAAGAAACTGGTATACATGCAATATGTATATCCATATGGCCACGGGTCAAATGCCAAATCGTACCCCCAGTGAACATCCCAATCCCAACTAAAATGGGTTCTAAAATGGGTAGTGAATTCACCTACCAACCAAAATGGTACCCCATTGGTTTTGACAACCACGGCCATACGTATCTACACATACTCCTAAGAAACCCCGGAATGCTGAATTCCCTGTAAATACCCATGAACAATGGTTTCCCATGGTTTCCCAAGTGGTGCGAAATGGATTTCGTCCATCCACAGTACGTAGATGTCTGCACCAAACGCACCCAGGGACCAAAGGTACCAACCGCGCGCCGGGCTCGCGCCGAGGTGCCCGGTACACTCGGGTCCGCGGCGGCGACAGCTCATCACCTTGGCTTCGATCGGAAGTTGGATCAGCTTCTTCTTGCCATGTTTAAAAGTGACTAACTTTTGGTGGGGTAAAAATGGAAACTGCCACTAAACACTAAAAGGATCTAAAAAGCTAAGGAACCGGATGGCTGGGAGCCACCAAGATTTGGTTTCTCCTGATAAGAGTAAACTATAAGAGTCACCTGAGCAAGCCAGAACTACCTTAGTTCAGCTTCCTCCCAACTGGTGATTCGGTGGGTTGATGGTTGAGGAGGGGTGTCCCATCTCCCCAGGAGAACTTTTGGAGAGGGAAGTTGTTTGGGGGGGAGGGGGGTTAGTTTACAAATCAGAGGTAGACATTACCATTTTTGGGTGAGGCTTTCCAACTAAGGCTCGACCCAACAAAAAAAGGTTTCTTGTTCCTTTGGTTTGTGTGTGTGTGTCTTTATCGAGGGTACCCTTTTTGGGATGGTTTTACCGGGAAGCCAAACGGACACCATGATTTTGGTCCAACATCTGCAAGCTACTTAGTAAGGATATAAACTGGCAAGGGGGCAAATCCCAGCTACCCCAGATATAGCCATGGTTGTAACCTCCTTGTACTAAGTTGGTTGAGCATCCAAGCAAGTCCAAGCTTGTTGTGTGTCACCAAAACAGCTTTGTTCAAAGCATGAAGTCCAGGCACTTGGGGAGTGAGCCAAACAAAAAGGACCAGCAAAACGGGTTTGAACGGACTCCCTCCAAATCGAAAAAGCAAAAGGCATCCCTGCAAAGGTTCAACATTTTGTGCGGCCACAAGGCAACCAAGAATTCGCGCCTGATCCTTCCATTGCAGGGTGATCGTGTTTCAAGGACGCGGAGTCGAAGAAAGATTCAGCCACTCGCGGCAAGTCAGCGGTTTCGAGCCGCAACCCAATGACACACCCTTGGTTGCTGTTGACCCCCCCGCCAAAAGCTTAACTTTTTGGGAGTGTAGTGGAAAACCCCTTGATCCCGAAAAGTTCAAGTCTAAAAATCCAACCCAATAGCAGTCAAGATTGTGGCCCAAAAGAACCTTTGTTTGGAACTCCGTCTCCGGTGTCCGGGGTTTGCAACATGCTTCCTGGCCTTCAAGTCCAGGAAATCTCGTGGGATCTGGTCTTGAAAAATGGCGAAACCCCGGGATTGGTGGGGGAACCCACGGTTGATCGTAAGACTGCAAGAGGACCAGGAATCTCAGCCTTGCGTTCTACTTGAGGGGGATCTCTCACCGAACAGCCTGGCATCAAAAGCATGAGGTTCACCAAGAAGGGACCTAGCTCCAACTGTTGGGATGAGCGTTGGTGAAGCCGGGAAATGCCCGCAAGCAAAAAACAACTCTGAAGTAGACAATGGATCCTTAGCAAGCAAAACACAGGGTCCATGACAATGGATAGATATGGATAGTCATCTCAGTTGTTCAGTGACCCTGGAAAAAAAGGGAACCTTTTTTGGGAAGATCATTTTAGTGGGGCAGCCCCCAGAAAAAAAAAAGAAAAATAATTGGTGCCACTGAACAACTGAGTCATTGCCACAGGCCTTCCATGCGGAGACCCTAGCATTGTTGGGAGGACAGTCTGAAGGATGCGGCCGCAAAAAAGGGCATTACCTCTCCCGGGCAAAGGATGCAATCTGATCCACCCCGTCAAAAAAGTACCAAGACTTTGACCCGTTCCAGAAGGAGCCCCTCGTTTTTTCTGAGGCTTCGGCGTTTCTTCTTGGGGTTCTTCAGCCGTGCGAGCGCTGCTTTCTGCCGCTCCGCCTTGCTGTCCGTGGCTGCTGGAGCCTCGCAACAAATGACCCGTCCAACCAAGTTTTTGGAAATGGGGTTCCTTTTGTCTTGGCGACACCGTTGTAAAGGAACACCAAAGGGAGCACGCTTTTGTTGGGGGTTCCTGATTTTGAGACACAGCCACCTAGCCCAGCCATATAGTCATACTCAGCCATGCAATGGTGAGTGAGTCATGGGGTTTCCTTGTTGCCAGCTACGCCGAGGTTGAACGGCAACGTGAAGGAAAGCCAACAGGCAAAGAGTCAAACAGGTAAACTACTCCTGCACACTTTGCCTCCTGTGGGTAGGTAATGGCAGGTAAAGGACATGACACCAGAATTGTTTTCAGCCATCGTTCTTTTCAAAAACCAGCCATTTCTCCCAGGGTTTGTTGGTGGTTTTCTAGGGATCCCTGGAACGAATGGGTACTTTAACCAACTGCACCCTCTTGCCGGTCATGAAAGCGGACAGGTCCCAAGAAAAAGCATCTTGCCTGCAACCTCCCATGCTTGGAGGGACCGTAGACTTGTTGGTTCTGAACAAACATCACTCGAAAACGAAACTCACTTTCAATAGCACAGGTGATGCTTAAAAACCCACCAAAAGGGGTTGCTATGGGGAATCAGGATTGGTAAAACCCACCAAAAGGGGACCTCTTGGGAATCACGTTTGGTAAGTGAGGAGCTGACCACTCTACGAGAGGTCCGGCACGCTATCGTCCGTAAAACAACAAAAATGGACAGGACCCGGTGTCATCCAATTTTCAGCTTGATCAGACATCCTGTGAGCAGGACAAGTTGTGCATTTGTCAAGCCTGGGTTTATGGTTCCTCCCAGCCAGCTCTGAACACATCAGCCGATGAAGTTGATGAGACCCAAGAGCTCTTCCAAAACCCTAAGGTAAAGCTGCTCGGCAGGGAAACAGCGAGAAAGTTGGCTACATAAAAGAGATCTCTGCGTGTGGCACTTTAGTGGAAACACTACTCAAGCGCAGTGGATCCATTTCCCTGTATAGTAGGTAACAAAGGGAACAACCCTTGAAAACCCATGGGAAAATAGCTGGTTACCCACTACAAGGGAACTGGGATTCACTGCAAAAAGCGGAGTGAGGGTTCTTTCCGAAATCCGTCCGGGATTCCACAGGCACTTCCACCGGTAGGCTGGTGGGGCTGCTGTGGTCGCTTCCGCCGCTGCTCACCGTGCGGGTGCGCCCGAAGATGTCGAGGCCCCCCTTCACGCGCTGCACCTCCCCGGAGATCTCGCTGGTGGTGCGCTCGAAGTAGCCTGATGTTCATAGGATCGATTCGATCTGCGAATCCTTTGCCGCGATGTCTTGCCCCCAACTGGCAAAAAGAGCACAACTTGAAAGATCCAACCAAACGAAAACACAACTTCTACTACCCAAGTGCAGGACCTTTAAGATCCTTGTGAGAAGCCATGGAGCCCCTTGCAAATGGCAAAGCCGATGGCACAGGAAACAAAAACGACCATCCACCAAATTGACCCTTTGGGGACGCTGGAATGCCCAATGGATTTCCATGGGAAAAAGGAATCGGCATGTTTTTTTGTTGGTT